GTGGCGGTGGGGGGCGGGGCGGTGGTGGTGTGGGGCAGTGGCAGTGGCGGTGCGATGGCAGGTCTCAGGCCTGGAGAAGGCGGGGCGGCGGCTCTGAGGGATGCATCGCCGCATCGCCGCTGATCCCGATCGTTGTGACCCTCCAGAGAGAGTCTCGGAGCCCCCCACGCCGCGCCCGAGCCCCACCCCCAGGCCAGGAGGCCAGTTTCAAGGCCTCATTGTTGGTGTCACAAGCGTCCTGGTGGGCGTCCCAGTGCTGCTGCTGCTCGCCTGGGTCCTGGCTGCTGTTTGCTCCAGGAACACGCCAGGTAAGTCCACTCGTGCGTGCGTGTGCATGCTCACGCACACACACACACCCCTCACACTCACCACCCGAGGATCTGCCATCTACATACAAACACCCCAACCCCAGGAGGGTGTGACCCGCAGGCACCCACAGGCAGGGCCCCGGCTAAGCCCCACCTGGGGAGAGCAGCTGGTCCTCCGCCCCTCGATTCACTGTGTGTTTCTCTGCAGAGGCCAGAAGAGCTGAAAGCAAGGTGCAGCCCCTGGTAAGTACGGCCCTTCCCGAGTGACCGCCACCCTCTGCCTCTCAGTACAGACAGAACTTGGCCATGGCCTGCCTGGGGGTGGCCAAGGACCGACCCTGCTCCCCACCAGTGCCCGCCGCTAGCTGGCGGCATCAGTGAGCTGGTGGTGAGCAACCGGCTCAGCCGTCTTACGCCCGGCAGCACAGGAGAGGCACATTGGGAATCCAGGGACGGCTTGGAGGTGGAGAGTGAGCCAGCGGGAGGGGTAGCCCTGGGGTTGATGGCTGAGGTGCATCTACTCTATCAAAGGCCTCCAGCCGGAGATGGGGTCACAGAGTGTGGGCTCGACCGGGCGGGGGTCCAGGTTGTGGAGACCCGGCCCGCTGCTCAGAGCTGACTCCTCCTTTCTCCCCTCCCAAAGAAGGCAGACCCATCGGCAGTGCCAGTGTTCACTGTGGCCTACGGAGAGCTAGACTTCCAACGGAGAGAGGAGAGCCCAGAGCCCCCCGCCTCCGCCTCCTGTGTGCACACCGAGTATGCCACGGTGGTCTTCCCTGGTGGGCCAGGCAACTCAGCCCACCGCAGAGGCTCTGCGGACGGCCCTCAGGGTCCCCGGCCCGCACCGCATGAGGAGGGACACTGCTCCTGGCCCCTCTGACCAGCTCCTCAGCCAGCAGGGCCCTGCTCCCTGCCCCCGGGCAACACACAGAGAGGCACACTCTGCCCCAGGGCCCAGCGTCCCTCCAGGCCTGGGGTGCTCTCGCAGTGCTCACAGCAAGCTGGGAGCAGCAGGTGTCCTGTGTCTGACACTGAGGGCTGGACACAGCCCCAGGCTTTGTTCCAAGGGGTTGGAGTGGCTGAGCCCAGCCCCCGAGCCTGGGGCCTGATCCACTCCTCCGACGCAGGGCAATGGGGTTGGGCTGGAGCCTGCCTGGGGGCTGACCCCGTGAGGCATCCTCAGAGCAAGAAGACTTGGGTGCGCACAGTGGATGCCTGTGGCTGCTCTCCAGAGGCGCTCCAAGTGGACGTTCACATCCCAGGCCTGGAGAGATTTCAGCGAAGGCCAGACGGCTCTCAGTGGCGGGAGATGGAGGTGTACGGCCATCCACCAGGCCAGCCCTCCGGGCCCCTCAGTCCTTCATACCTGCCCCCGGCTCTGCCCTCTGCACAGGGAGCTGAGGCGTGATGGCGGAATGAGGTAAATAAGACGCACTCACAGCGCTGGAAGGCCAGGGCGGGCCTCGTGATGATGCGCGGGAGCCATGGCAAGAAACGGCCAGACAGACTCACAGAGGCCCCCAAAGAGGAACTTAGCGCACAAGGGTTGTGGCACCCTACTCTACTCTGGGCGTGGGCCCAGCGCCGACTTTTTTTTTTTTTTGACAAGCAGATATTTGGCGTCTGTATTCTGCTTCTGTATTTTGCTTGGCTTGCAAAGGAGCGTTGGAAAGACTCCATTTACAGGACACCACTCTGGGGTATAAAAACCCCACCTGTGGCTATTCAGGGCCCTCCTGGGTTCCTGATGCCTAAGAGTCACCCCAGCCAGTTATAGCTGGCTATTGACAAATTTCCTTTTACTAATAAATTTCCTTACAATCAAGATTGGGTTTTTGAGTCGATGGTCTGTGTCCTGGGGGTTTTTCAACTCGTTGCAATGGGAGTGACTAGCTAAAGCCCACCCACCTCTGGGACTGGCCCCCTGGCCTCCCACCCCAAGAAGGAGCGGTGGGGACAAGAAGGCTGGCTGGGCAGGTCCAAGCTGCGTCTGTCCTGGGCATGGGTATGTGCAGATGCCACACTGACTACTGGCCGCCTGGAAGCCCCGCTCTCGGTCCCTATTCACCGCGCCTGGGTCCCTCACCTGAGGACAAGAGGTTCCGTTGTCCCCTCGGCAGAATTCACCTTGGGCACGCAGGCAGAGCTCGGGCTGACACTGGCATCTCTGGGGTCAGGGCTCATGCGCCCCTTCCCTTCGGTTTGATAGGTGGTGAAGGCCATGAAGAGTCCAGTGCCCTCCCGGAGTCTGTGCGGGTGCAGGGCAGCAGCGCCAGCCCCACTGCAGACGGTGTGGGCCCAGCCTTCGAAGGCCTTGAGTCAGCGCGCGCTGGGCCAGACGCTGTCACGTCTGCCCTACAGTCCTGCACACTCACACAGAGCCTCCCGACAGGCCTGCGCACCCACACACAGCCTCCCGACAGTCCTGCGCACCCACACACAGCCTCCCGACGGGCCTGCGCACCCACACACAGCCTCCCGACGGGCCTGCGCACCCACACACAGCCTCCCGACGGGCCTGCGCATTCACACACAGCCTCCCAGAGCAGAGGCCTCCACGTGGGGCAGGGGCGGGGAGGCCATGTTCCCCCTAGCACCTCCCAGCCCTTAGCCCGCAGACCCCAAGCCTCCTGTGCACAGCTGAGCCTCGTGCCTTTCCACTCGGTTGAGGTCCTGTCTGCCCAGCTGGGAATCCTCCAGGCAGCATTTTCTGGTGCCTGGGGCCAGGCTGTCAGTAAGGTGGGCCAGCCGCTCCGGCAGTGCACTCGGGGCTGTGTGTCCAGCAGGGTGCGGGGTCCTGCGGGCCTCCCCAGACACAGGTCAGCTGTGTGTCCAGCGGGGTGCGGGGTCCTGCGGGCCGCCCCAGGCACAGGTCAGCTGTGTGTCCAGCAGGGTGCGGGGTCCTGCGGGCCGCCCCAGGCACAGGTCAGCTGTGTGTCCAGCGGGGTGCGGGGTCCTGCGGGCCTCCCCAGGCACAGGTCAGCTGTATGTCCAGTGGAGTGCGGGGTCCTGCGGGCCTCCCCAGACACAGGTCAGCTGTGTGTCCAGCAGGGTGCGGGGTCCTGCGGGCCTCCCCAGGCACAGGTCAGCAGTGTGTCCAGCAGGGTGCGGGGTCCTGAGGGCCTCCCCAGGCACAGGTCAGCTGTGTGTCCAGCGGGGTGTGGGGTCCTGCGGGCCGCCCCAGGCACAGGTCAGCTGTATGTCCAACGGGGTGCGGGGTCCTGCGGGCCTCCCCAGGCACAGGTCAGCTGTGTGTCCAGCGGGGTGCGGGGTCCTGCGGGCCGCCCCAGACACAGGTCAGC